ATGGAAGTGGTGGAATATGACATACAGTGGGGTCATGGTAGTTTGAAGGGAGAAGTCAACTGCCGAATTATAGACTTTTTACCGTATGAGTATACGTTGTCCGGGATGCACCACATGGAGGTGAGTCTATCACACACCCCTGATAGAAAATGATATGATGATAGATGTCATCGATACGGGAATTGCTGTTTTATTTGGGCATGGAGGGTGGATACAGTGTTAGAATCCTCTCTTTAGAAAAGAGGAAGCATCCGGTCAAAAATGTCCTGAACTAAACAGTCCCAGTAAAGACATTTAGTTAGCTGTAAAGTTGCGTAGAGTGAAAGGTGATCATAGGGTTGAATGGTGGAGTATGGAATTAGGTAGATAGGTAGGTCGGTGCGTTACTTTTAGCCAGCGTAAATAAGATTGGAATTGCATCTAAAGAGTGAATTCATTCACCTTCAACTCACTTCTTAAATTTGATTTTGCAGACAAATTCAAGAAAACGAAGCAGACTCTCTCAAATATTTCAAATTCGATGATGAAATTGAGGAGAATGGTGAAGACACTGGGTAACTTATTTTTTATTTTAAAAATTGCACCTCATAACTCCCTCGTTCTTAACTTTGACTACAACAATTTCTTTTAGAAATCAAATGGAAGCCAATGAGAGATTGTCCTCGAGTAACAATAACGAGTGAGAACTATTGTCATGCATCTTTTCTCTCTCTCCTGTACTGTCTCCCCTAAATAGCTATGATCGAATTCAAGTTTTTGGTGTTGTATTAGAAATCTTTTTATGCATATTTTAACTGTCTGAACTAAGCTTCCCAAGTGCAATCTTCAAGCTCCCATCGCACTACTGGAATTGAGTGAAAGAGAAATGATTTAATCAGTTTGCTCACGGCGGTGTATGTTTGACATCTTCCCCTGTTAACGTAATTGCCCACGACATTTGAGCCTCTCTAACCATACAATCCGAAAGAGGTATCTCTAAGCATCCAATTTAGATGGGGAGTATCTGAACACGTGTCTAGTAGAGATAAAACAAAGAGACTTTTTTTCGGGAAGTTGCTTTTGGCATTGCTCGGAGAAGGAGGATTTTCACTTGCATATTCCCCTATCCTAAAGTCAATTAATGGTGCGATCGAAATATCGCTGTAAAAGTAGTGAATAAACCTCATGCGCGTTGACTTCGAGATATTTGAATTTTTTCATAATTTTAATACCATCTTTTTATCCTTTTTTTTGTTTAGTGAGGATTCCGTGGCTAAAACTGCTTCCGAGGTCCATAAGGATAAAAAAGACAAAAAGTGAGTCGTTCTTTTATCCATTTGAGAAGTTCCCTCCCTCCCTTCTCTCCCTCATTTGCTCATTTTTCACTAGATCGCGAAAAAGACGCATGCAGGAGGCGGAGGAAGCTAAGATGGCCGCCAAAACTGAAGATGTGGATTCTAAACGGTGATTATTTTGATTAATACTACTTTTCATTGCTACAAAGTACTATCGGATTAGGAATAGGGGAAAGGCTGAAAGATTCCTACTGTTATCGTCACCCAAACCGCTTACTACAAAGGTGTCACAATTGCTATTTTTTGGGTGAGATCGAAACGTGCAAGATGCCAAAATAGTTCAATGTTAGATGAAATTTATTTGTATCAAATGACACGTTTTTTGCTAGTTATCATTAGGCCTTTAGTTGACTTCAGGTTTCACAGAAGGGGAAGGAACATCAAATTCAAAGAAATCGAGTGGAGAGGGGGACAGAAGAGTGTTTCAAAGATGTAAAAGAGACAGACAGACATAAAGGCAGAGAAAAGGTAAGATGGGTACTGTGGAAGTGGTGGAATATGACATACAGTGGGGTCATGGTAGTTTGAAGTGAGAAGTCAACTGCCGAATAATATGAGTATATGTTGTCCAGGATGTACCACGTGGAGGTAAGTCTATCGCACACCCCATGTTAGATGACATTGGGTTTGAAAATGAATGCGTGAACTTCAGATAGCGTGATATTTATTTATTGTATTCTAGGTAAACTGAATTCTCCACATTTTCATTAGGAATTTTATATCAATTGAATTTATTTTGCAATATTCAAATTCCACGTAGATGAGATTAATAGAAGCATTTCAAATGTGACTGCTTGTTAAGGGGACGTTTTGTCCGTCAGTGTCGTTTTTATATCCTTTACATTCCGTCGCGCATTAAAATATTAATTGGACAATCGAGTGTGTGTGATGTCTCATAGGGTAGATATGATTTTGAACCGCTTTCAAAGCTTTCTAAGTCCGCAAAACAGGTACTCGCTTGTAAGCAATCGACTTTCAAAGTAAATTACGTCTAATTGATAAAATGA